GAATCACTTGTACTCTAATGACTCACGTGGTAAATTCTGTATAATGTTCATTTCCACAGCACTAATTCTGTCATACCCACGCTGTTTTTATTTACTGGTTATTTTCATATTTCTTCTCCTTTTCTTTTTTTTTTTTGGACCAATGTTAAGGTATTTTCAATAAGACCAAAACTAAGAAAAGCATACCAGGAACTGGAAGGATTTTAATATAAAACACCTGTAGGGGAATTGGAATTAATTGATAAAAGAGAAGATTTTTTCTGATGCAGCGAGTGGTGAGGAATGATGCTGATGGAATTGTGTTGTGCTGTGGAAATGTAAATTATGCTGAATTTGCAGAGACAACAGGTAAATATGGAGGAAGTGTTTGCATGAACAGCAAAAGCTGCATTAGCAGATTGAAAAACAGGTAGGCCTATGACTGCAAAATTGTTAAATACTCCCATGAAACAGGGACAATTAGACCTCTGCCAAGGCCAGTAGTTTAGGCTTATGATATGCAAATTGCTGAGTTCGCGCAGGTAAAAAAATACTGATTGATTCTGGATTCTGGATTCTGCATATTTCTTACATGTTGCTACAATGTTTCTACAGTGAGGTTTGAGTTGGCTGTTATTTTGTTTTATTTTTAGCCATGGCGGCTATTCACCTTAATGACTATGGCAAATTCAGTTAATTTTGCCATAGAAAAGGAAAAAACAATATGTGTATCTGCACCGTGGTTTCAGATCCATTACAAAATTGACTGTGTTTCATGAAAGTTTCACGAAAATTGAGCCAGTTGTTTTTCCGTAGTCCTGCTAGCAGATAAACAGACAAGCCCACAAATAGGACCAAAAACATAACCTCCACGGTGGTGGGTCAATTGACAACAATTGTCAACTGTCTGATTTGCTTGGTCATTGAGATAAATAAAGGCCTCCTATTTGAGAATTTACAGGAATTTAATGTTTGTATTCTTGTCTTCAAGGAAGTGGTATAGTATGTCGCAAGTGACAGTAAAATTGTTGATGTGAACTGCTGATTGAGGAGCTTTAAGTGCAGGTTACTGTCAGTATTACTCATTGAATGATTTGGATCCTAAACTTCTGACATAAAAGCACATGTAGTGCACAAAAATTAACATTTTCGTACATCAAATTTTACACACTTATTGAATAAAAAATGTACACTTGTAAGCTGAGCATGCATTATTAACCTGGTCAGTGTTATAAACAAATAACCTTCTGGTGGCTTCCTCTTAGATGTGAATGAAGTGCATTGTACTCAGCTAATGCATTGTTATTTTAACCCCACCACTGGGAACATTAGATTCATGTGTTTCACTGAGGTTTTTGTTTGTGTGTAGATGATGAGCTTCATGACAAGTACCTAAAAGCCAAATGAATTGGCTTGACCTCATAAAAGACCAGGTGCATCTGCCGCCCTGAAAATTCCATATGCAATCTCTGAGCTGCACAAACAAACTGTCATTGAGTCCAGTTCAGTGGGATTAGGCCCAGCAAATCCACTCAGCAAATTAATTACAGCTTGGACGAAATGGAGTCCAGAAGGTGCTTTGGTTCCATGGGGGAGGGCTTAGCATGGTTGAAAGGACCTATGTAGCCTATATACTGACTGTCTTCATATCTTATGGCCACAGGGTACAATAAAACTGAAGGAAAACAAAAATGTGGCAATTCATTTTACACACTTGGTTAGAGAACAAATCAAGCCAAGACCATTAGGAAGTTTTGTAACATTACTTCAGTTATTTCCAGGCAGTATTTAGAGTTCCTTACACCTAAAAAAAAAAAAAAAAAAAAAAAAACCTGAGACGATGACAACCTTTACATGTGCTAGAGTTTATTGCCATTTTCTCTGTATGTTGGTTCAGTACAGGGATGTTTATTTGACAACCTGTGTCAAAAAGGGACCAAGACTCTCCCAGTTGGGTTAAAGCAATTGTTTGTTGACTGGGATGACAGATGGTATCATACTGGAAAGCCATCTATTTCCAAACACCGGTCAATAGATGTAATTTGAGCTGTAATGCCTCTGGTTCCCTGCCATACTGTATTATGTGGAGTTGTCCATGACTGTCTGTTTCCCCCAGATAGATTCTGATTGGAGAACCTATTGTATTCTTGAATGATCTTCAACCAAGGCCTCCCCCCTCTTGGGAGAGTGATAGAGAGAGAGAGAGAGTCCACTCAGTCATCAGAGCTTTACCCGTTGGGACAAACATCCAACAGAATCTCTACATGCAGGATTCTGCAGACACATTTTACACGTACACAGAAACACACCAACAAATGCATGTAGAGCAGAATTAGGCAGATACCCACTGATAATTAACATTCAGAAGAGAACGCTCAACTTTTTTAACCACCTGAAATCCAGCCCCAGAGACACCCTCCACTCCAAAGCCCTCCAAACCCAAGAGCTGAGCCCAGAAAAGAGTCCCCTATGTCAGTTGGTACTGAGGCTAACTGCCCCCTCTCAGACACACTCTGACCAGCCTCACAACAACACGGCTCTACAAACAGTAATCAGAGTAAAGCAAATTATAGCACAATGTAAAGAAAGCTATCGGGAGGGAGAGAGAGAGAGAGAGAGAGAGAGAGAGAGAGAGAGAGAGAGAGAGAGAGAGAGAGAGAGAGAGAGAGAGAGAGAGAGAGAGAGAGAGAGAGAGAGAGAGGGAGAGGGAGAGAGAGAGAGAGAGAGAGAGAGAGAGAGAGAGAGAGAGAGAGAGAGAGAGAGAGAGAGAGAGAACTTGGATTAGATATACAGATCGTGGGCTGCCCTGCTGTTAGTACTGACAGTATTGATTGAAAGATATCTGTGTACTCTGCGTCTTGAGATGCATCAACACTTTGAATGTAACCCCCCCCATAGACCTTTGTGGTATCCCAAGGGAGATTGTTTTGAGACCATCAGTGCAGATGTGTTCTGTCAGACAAATAAACATGAAACCAGTTCTGAACAAAACTAAAGAAAGTGTAGTTTAGGTAAAATGCAGTGCTCAACTTCATAAAAATAAATTATCCCATGCCTTGGTCTAACACTTGGAGGGTACAGTTATAGTCTGGATAAGCATCATGGGTATTAGTGTTGTCACGATACCAAAATTATTGTTTCGATACCAATACCAAGTCAAGAATTGCGATTTCGATACTTTTTCGATACTTTTCCTGAAAAGGGAGAAACACTCTCAAATATCATTGCTGTGCTTTATTTTAAAACCGGGACAATCATATAGCACACTAATGAATGAACATATGAACAGCAGATATAGTTATATTTATATATTTATTTATATTTGAACAAAATATGAAATATCAAAATATAAAAAATAAATTAGAGCAATGAACATTCAATATTCAAGGTAAAAAAATAATAAATTTAGCATCATTATCTCAGTTATCATAAGAAACATAAGAGAAAACATAACTTTGAAAAAAAGCAAATAAAATTTAGCAGCAATATCTCAGATATTGTAACTTATTCTGTCAGTTGTGCAACCTTTCCTTTCAGAGGAGAAAACTCAGCCATTGAGCCTGTGGCTCCAGACTTCTGTAGCAGAAGAAAATGGAAATATTTAAAATATGATGGTGATAAATTTGTCATAACAGAGGACCTAAATAGTTTGTGTGTGATAGTAACAATAACTTGTGACTAACTTAGCATCTCTATATGCAGTGGTTATAGTGATAACTGCTAACATTTACTTAACCATAACATTACCATAATTAATAATAGGAGGATAATGAGTTAACCTAATGTTATTTAAGCTGTGATATATGGATTAATATAGGCTAATGTTTCCTGTACTTCAACGTCTGATTTCTTTGATGGTTAACTTTATATTTGAGTCCATTATTTCTTACAAGGCGTTTCACAAATACACCTCCTTTGCGTAGATCTGTGCTCTTTAAATGCTGTAATAACCCAATATACGTAAATCACTGACAAACATGCACATACTCTGATTATAATCATATAGCCTATAGATCATTTTAGCTGATGTTTTGTATGCTTTATTTTAGCAGATGCAAATTATTAACATTATCTGTGAAAGTTGCATTTTCAGAGATGTTGAATTAGCCGTAGGCAGGCTATTGGTTAGCCATGAGGATAATGCCCATAGTCAGCCTACTATTTCTCTAGATAGCCTCGTCAAACTACGGTGGTGCAAAATAGTGACTTCTCACAAAATAAACCATAACCTTCTCATTTGACTTATTTAAGGGTATGAACGTGGTCGTGTTATCTTTCACATACTAACCTGTCGGTCTTTAAACTCCTCCTACTACTCGGCGTGCTTGTCAGCCAAGTGTTTCTCCAGGTTGGAGGTGTTGGCTCCCTTTGTTTGCATTGTTTGTAGCACTGATGACAAACAGGTCTCGACTTATCGGTAGCTTTGCCCTCACTGTCAGCAAGGTAGGCAAAGTACTTCCATATTTCACTCCTCGCGTCATCTTTTTCTACCAGTCGTGGACCGGCGGCCATAGTATCACTTGTGCTCGCACATGCAGCCATGTCGTTACAGTGTTTGTCACATGACAGTGTTTGTCACATGACAGCTGCAGACGTCCATAGGGAGGCACTGGAAGCATGCGTTGCATAATTGCCGTTCTATAATTGCATCAATGATTATTCTAAAGGTTATTATTATATTGTATATTATTATTCTTACAGTGTACTTTTTTATCATTTTAAACACAATATAGAAATCATAGAATTATGCGATTGTATACACATTCTTATTTAGGTCTAGTTGTATTATTATAATTTAGGCTTGATTCACAGGAGTTTTTTGTCTGCATTAATGTGTGATTCTCTGTTGATACCATGATCATAATGATATTGTAATATAAAATGTATAAAATGACCCAGTCTTCTGTCCGACTGTCATATCCAGTTCATATTATCTACACATTTTTAACAGCTTCATGAGTTGTCAATATCATGTTTTGGTGTCACGTTAAATCAGTTTCTTCCTGTCCTTACCCCCACAGTGAAGCCCCTCCCCCTGTCTCCATTGGAAGCCCAGTCATCGACGCCGGTTGGCGGAGCCGGTGAGAGGCAGGCCTTAGAGCTGCGGGTCCGGGCAGTGGAGGAAGAGAACCGGGCACTGCGCCGGGAGCTCAGCCGGCCGCCCAGAAGCCCGTCTGCACGCCTTCCAAGCGGCGGTCACCGTGGCAACCAGAACCGAACCCATTCAGAGGAAGGCACCGGCGACAATGAGGGCCAGAAAGCTGCTGCAGTGGGAAACAGCTCAGACTGTGTGCACCAGCCAGCTGTGGATAAGTGTGAGGTGAGACATGTATAATGTGCATCTGTCAGTTTTTAGGAAAAAAAATGCCAGTTTTTTTGAAAATGTTCCATCAGTAACACACCATTCAAAGCCTTTTTTGTTCAGTAATGCAATATGACCGTGAAGATGTTTTCCAGGAACAAGGGCACCATTAGCACATTGTGAGCCTATAGTATAGCCTGGCTTTAGCCTCCCATTAGCCTAATCCTCAGCAGTGATGATGCTGGTTTGCTGTTGGGATATGGCTCAGGAAGGATGGATAGTGTGAGAGCTTTAAGACAGCCATGCTGTGATCCCCACAGCACATCACCTTTTAGCTCAGTGGGAGTTTCTCTGGATAACTGCAAGAGCCTATACTTACAGGTAGTCAGTTGTCTTGGTACAGGTCAGGGTACTGGCTCAGTGCTATGAAAATGGTTTAAGCACTTCCCACAAGTCCTGGAAAACATGGAAATTTAGAGATTTGTTTTTCAGTCTTGGAAATACCTGGGAATTGATATATAGTAATATAATAATAATAATAATAATATGTGTATGAAATATGTTCTCTAAAATGTATTTTATCTCCTTAATCCAACCGCTTAAACCTATTTTTTTTTAACTCAGCTATTGGTAGAATAAGCTGCACTGTATGACACTTCAAAGCAGGTTTATCAGACGCAAAGGGGAACAGAAAACCACTCCCTTTTCCTTTCTGCTCCGATGTCAGTAAACAGCTGTTCACACCACTTGCAGCAAACTTTTGGTATCAAGTCTATTTTGGAAATGCTGTAGATTATCACATGCATACAGTCTATTAATGTTAAACTGTCAGTTCAGTCAGCCAACTCACGTTTGAAATGTTTATTACAGCAGTATAGCATATTTAGATTTTGGTGTCCAGGCTCCGACCTCATCATTCCCCACAGATATGTTTCCATAGAGATATTGGGGAGTGATGCGCAAATACCTTAACCCCTAGCCGGAGCCTACAGGTGGATGCTGATGTGGTGGTGGGGCTTACAGCGCAGCAGGCAGCAATAGCTTACAGAGCAGCAGCAGCAATATGGATGCAGGGCAACAGCGGCATTGACAGAGCAGAGGGAGAGCTGGGATATTGTGCAGTTTAAATAGACCGCCAGATTGGAAGGGAGCGCTTGGTTAGTGATTATGGAATAAGGCATGTCGTGTGTAATCAGCGCAGCTTGAGTTGACTGACTGAACTAGCTCGCAGGCTTCGCTCCATTTGTGAGCAAGTGCTATCCTGTTTTGTTAAGAAAAACTCCTGGAAAATGTCTAGGAAGAGTTCTTTCTTAAAAAGAGTGGGAACCCTGAAAGATTAATAAAAAAAATTGATTTGGTGCATATCAAACACTTAAATTTAGAATATTAATACTAAACCATTGGTAGGAAGAGACAACTCATTAAACGTTTCCATGAGGGATGTGGAGATTCACTGATTTGCATCAGTGTATAAAAGTGTAAATTTCCTGATTTAAAAAATGTTCACCGGATACAATTTGGGATAAACTCTGGATGCATAGTTTCGAACATCTTGCATCTGTAAATCTGATTCATTCATATATAATTATTTGTAGTGTGTAGGAAAATATTAAAAAATATCATTCTGAGATATTTTGTTTTATGATATTGTATTGATTCTAAAAAACATTGTATCGATATTTGCGATTGAACCCCTAAACGTTAGGTTAGGTTGCTCAGATTTTATGCATATTGTGGACAGTTTTCCTACTGATACTGATTCTGATTCTAACATTTTATTAGACTAAATTACAATGTATTGGCATGCTTACAGTACTGGTCGAGGCAGACGACCACCCACCTAGAGCCGAAGGATCTGTCCTAGGTTTCTGCCTCTTAAAAGGCAGTTTTTCCTTGCCCCCGTCGCCAAGTGCTTGCTCATGGTGGTACTGTTGGGTCTCTGTAAATAATGTTTTAAAGAGTTCGGTCTAGACCTGCTCTATTTGAAAAGTGTCCTGAGATAACTTCTGTTGTGAATTGGCGCTATACAAATAAAATTTAATTGAATTACAGTATCGCAATATATTACAATATATTGAACTGTAACCACTGTATTGTGATACATATCGTATCGCCAGACTCATGCCAATACACTGCCCTAATTATTTAGAAATGTGACCAATAACTTTATATTTAGATTGATTCCTCCTCTCTAAACTGTTCCTCAAGCTGCTTAAGAAGAACAAAAAAATAAGATCTATATCATATTAAATTGTGTAGCATCATAATCTTCTGCTTTGAATATGATTTCAGTTGAATCAAATCGTGGTGAAACGTATTGGATTGGTAGGTTATTTTTGTGTATCTTGAATGTATTGGATTGTTGGCAATGCATCAAGATGCATATCTCCTCAACCTCAGTGATAGAGATGCACGTCACTAATTTCCATATTCCCCTATCAATCGGACTGAGAATGCACCAAGAATAACAGGTTCACAACTGATTTTCCTCTCAGCACACAGACACACACCTTGTGCTTCCTTGCTGGCAGGTGAGGGATTTGTGTGTAGTGCTCTGAGAAAGGATATGCCCTCAGATGGTTTCTTATCACCACTGTCTACTTTCCTCCCACATCAGCTGTCACTCACACACTCACAGTTCTCGGCTACATCCAGGAGCTGTTCAAAAGCCAGCTGACTGCAGGGAAAGCAGAGCTCCTTCAGGGTTGGAAGAGGAGAAATCAAGACAGGGCAGTCTGACTGTAGCACCCTTCCAGCAGTGCTTGAACATGACCCTTTCTCATTTGGAGGGTTAGCCCAGCTGCCCTGACCCCTGCAGGGAGATTATAATGTAGAAGCTCTGAGAGGGGAGTGTAAAATGCAAATGGAGTTTTGACATGTCAAGCTCACATTAGGGAGAGACATTTGGAGCTAAAATGGGAGCCATAACCCAGGGTGAAGAGGGAAAAGTCCAGAATAGTGTTCACATACTATTAAAAAATCAGCTGAAGGAAAAGATTCCTCTATAACCATCAAACATAATCATTATTTCAGATAACATCAACAGTCAAACATAGGTGTTTCTGCAACTACGGTCACCTTTGAAAATCAGCCTCTATGAATTTAAATTTTGACCATCAGTCCGTAATAGGGCTGCAGCTATCGAATATTTTGGTTATCGAGTATTCTATCGAATATTCCATCGATTAATCGAGTAATCGGATAAAACATACTTTTGCTGAATTAAAGCCCAATTTTAAATATACAATAGAAAACAAGACAGATCACGTAATAATAAAAACAGTTTTTTTCCTATTTAAGAAAAATTTACATTTATTTATTATTATACATATTATGTAAAGTATCAAAAATAAAATAAAAATGTTGTCCAAATGTACACACACCACGATGTTGTCCTTAATTTTAATTTAAAATGATCCCACACCTTCGACATCTTCTGTCTCTTCCAGTTACCACATTGTAAAAGTAATTAGTTACTCAGCAAAGTAACTGACGTTATTTTGTATGTCCTATAACGCTATTACATTCTATAACATCTTCTATAACGTAAAATATGTTTATAATAACTGAATGAAGAATAAAAACACTATATACAGTGTGTGTGTGTATATCATATATATATATATATATATATATATATATATATGTATGTATATATATGTATGTATGTATGTATGTATGTATATGTATGTATATATATATAAATATTATGTATGTATGTATGTATGTATATGTATGTGTGTATATATATATATATATATATATATATATATATATATATATATAAGAACATTTGGTATTTATTTGAACTCAACAGATTGCAGCCGACCATATGCATAGAAATAATGGACAGGGGTAGCATGTTTTCAGCAACATACCTTGCAATCAATGTGTTCAGGTCGGCCCTAGTCGCCACCTGTTACTGACCCGAAAATCAAGCTTTGCTTGTTTTAACGGAGTGGCTCCGTCTCCTTCACTGGAGCTCACGCTAGCTGCATCTGGGCTTGAGGTTGGGTTAGCAGCAGCAACAAGTGGCTTGTTAGCATGTGTTGCTGTGCGGTGCTTCATAAGATTTGAGTTGCTTGAGGCAGACGTGGATAAAGTCTTTTTCCTGGGCACAGTGCATGTTACATAAACATTCTTGTCTTTAACTTCAGTAAGCGAGAAGTAGTGTCGGTACTTCCAGTTTGATATCGCTACCTTTGAATTTCGCTGGCTCGTCGCCATTGTCTCTGTCTTGTGTTTATAGTAGTTAGAGCGTGCAGTGAGACAGCGTGAGCAGGGCATCCGCCCACCCAGCCAATCATCATCGCATTTGCAACGGTGTCATCATCACCACCCTGCCCTCTCCCGGCAGCTGATGTGTGGCTGTCAGAAAGCCTGACACCACTGCGCTTCATTCAACCACATTGTAGGAACGCAAGTAACGGGCCACTTTACATTCTCAGTAACGGTAACGGCGTTGCAACGATGGTAAAAGTACTTAATTAGATTATCCCGTTACTGAAAAATAACGCCGTTAGTAACGCCGTTGCACATTGTGTCACACTAAAAAGAATTTGTGCGAAACGTGAGTTTTGAATTTAATTAAACGAGGCTTCGAGGCAGAGGAAATTCCTCGATCATTTTTTGTAATCGAGTTACTCGAGGTACTCGAGGAATCGTTGCAGCCCTAGTCCGTAATATATATAAACAGATACACACAATTTGCATATAGTGAGTGTAAGTTTAGTCTGGAACGTTTGTTTTTGTATATAGAATTCACATTCAAGATGATCTTGAGGGTCACCTAGTGTGGGTTTCCCAACCTCTCATTCATCTGCCCTCCTCTGTTTCCATAGAAACTAGATTTGTTTGGTTTTGAGAAACACTTTTACTATGGTGTTTTGTTCAATGGACAGGGGCTCTGAAGTGAGGCACAGACACATTTAGATGAAAGAAATCATATAAATCACAAAAAACGATGGTGTTAATTAGTACTGATATGTACGGAAGCCGAGAACGGCCATGGATCTTTCTTTTTTTATGCACTGTTATCTCATGATAACGACTTATTGTCTCGTTATCTCGATATAACAAAGATTGTTTTCTCGTGATAACTAATTAACGGCTTCCGTAGCCACTGGTTGTCGCTGTAGCCTACCGGTAAGTCACACTCACTTATACTACGTTAGCTTGTTTACCTGACTGGAAGCCATTCGTGGCAGCTCTTGTAGGTTTAAATCAAGACGAACACATTATTAATTAATTTGTTATCACGAGAAAACGATCTTTGTTATATCGTGATAACGAAATAATGAATTCGTTATCACGAGAAAACAAACTTTGTTATATAGAGATAGCAAGATAATAAGTCGTTATCACGATATAACAGTGCATAAAAAAAAATAAAATCCATGGCCGTTCTCGGCTTCCATAGATATGAAACATGAAATATGAATGTCATATTGTAATTGAATTAGCTCATTTGACATATCTCAACACTGAGACTACAGTTAAGGCACGTGAACAATAGTGGTGTTTGGGCCCATGAAATTCTTCATAAATTTGATTTCATTGAATATTTTTTATTTGATGTGTAATAACACTGTTTATCTGCCATGACGCTTGGCAAATGTTGACATAAATCCAAACTTTCCATAGTTGCAGAAACATCCACATGGTGAAATCCTTCACTAAGGAGGGAGAGATACCACATCACAATGTTGCAACAAGACATGTCCTAGAAATGAGTCATAGTTGGAAACTTAAGAAACCATCAACTAAAAATAGAAATAGAAAGCTGAATTTGAGGGATGCATAATTAATTGAAATATTATTGATATCCAAAACTTAACATGTAATTTGTTTGATAAAGGTAAAATAAACCTGTTACTTTGAAATAAGAAAAATGGTGAACATTTAAAGTATTAACAAAGCTGTTGTGTCATTAGATCTTGCAGAGCTACAGATAAAGGTTCAAATCTGTACATTCTATAAGGATTCAAAGTTTTGTAGTGCAGTGAGCAATAGTAATGGTAGTTTCTGGAGTCATGTTTGGCTCCAGTACATCTAAAGTATATCCAACTGCAGTCGCAGCACGAGTGTGACAGAAGTTGAACTTCAACCAGCACACTTACCATGTGCTGGTTGAGTCACAGAAGAGATTGCGCCCAAAACGTAATGACATTTATTTCAGCATACTGAACTGTAGGCTGATGTGAGATCCAGAAATGAGACAAAAAAAGTGTCGTAAAGTTATAGTAGGCCTATGTTAAAAGCACATTTTAAATGTGATTTTGTTTTTGTTTTTTCACCCACATTTCGCAAAAACCCACCCTACTCTGCCTCTGATTGGCGGATTGGTTAGGTTTAGGCATGAGTAGTGGTGACATGGTTAGAAAAAAATGTCAGGGCCATGGTATGCCTCTGAGTATGGGCGGGTCTTCCCATGATGTGAAGTTAGCAGTTATGCTAATACAATTCATAGTTTATATTCATTATTTCTGCTAAATAGATATAAAATAGAATAACATTTATTTTTAAAGTTCCCCTTTAAACATCTCAAATTGTTATGCATAACAATGAAAGTGAATATCCTAAGGGCAATTAATGAACTGTACACTAAGCAGAGATGGATTGTGGACTATTAATATTTTGGCATCATAATAGTTCAACTTTACAGGGATGCCTTTAACAATATTAAAGAATATATGGCTGGGCACCCGCTTAGCTCAGTCGGTAGAGCTGGCGACCCATGTACGGAGTTGCTGCAGCGGCCCGGGTTCGAATCAGACCTGCGGCCCTTTGCTGCGTGTCATCCCCTCTCTCTCTGCCCCCCTCTCCTGTCTATCTTCAGCTGTCCCTATCTAATAAAGGCCAAAAAAAATAACTTAAAAAAAAAAAAAAAAAAAAGAATATGTGGCTGCAAGGCAACCAATCGTATGTAGTAGGCTTGATATTATGGCTGATCAGAATTCTTCCCTTCATACCTTCCCCTTTGATGTAAGTTAATGTTCCACAGTATGATTTGCTATGATCACTGGTCTCTTTGCTGAAAGTAAGTATTTTGTGTTTTAGTTCTACAAATTATTTTCCTATTCGTCTTCGCAAATTCAGTTCTGTCAATAATTTTCTCGCCTATGACATGCAGAATGAATTTCTCTCTTCTCTAACCTGTTATTCAATCCATTCCTTACAATGCTTCAATCTAATCCTTCCCTCTCCTTCTGATCTCCACAGACCATCCACGTGGCCATCGTGTGTGCAGGTTACAATGCCAGTAGAGACGTGGTGACGTTGGTTAAATCAGTCCTTTTCCACAGGTACAGCAATGCTCTCTCTTACTTCTTACACCAATCTGGTCTCCTAGAAATTGCATTTTATATAAGTTTCAAACATAAGTTCATGTTGTAAGTTTTCTTGTAGCTTAATTAGGAGTTAATGAACGTGTCTGGCAGTTGATAAAAATGATGATATTGAATCTATCAGTAATGTATCAGTTTACAATGTATTTAATTTGTTTTTCACCAAAATGTTTAGGCACTAGCAAGGTTGTAGGGTTCATAGATATAGAAACATAGATACTGCATTATCAATCTGACATGCATATGTTATATTGGGGAGATCAAGATCCGCTCATTAACAACAGAGATTCAGATTGCACTGCAAAATTGAATTCTGAACCCATTTTCATAAAATTTGGCTTGTTTCAAATGTGAGAAATTGAACCTGATACTGGTTTACTTGTTGGAATTAAGTCAGTCACTGGGTGGTGGAGCTAATCAGCTCTATAGATGAGACCAGCCATATGGCACTTTCTTGTCTTTAGAACAATCAATTTACAGTCCTAAACTGACATGAATCAATACTGATTTTACTTTTTTTTTTTTACCAATTTGGGTGTAAAATAGGTCTTAACTTTCATTCATAAAGGTCTTAAAAGTCTTAAATAGAACCTGTTAAAACCTGCAGAAGCCCTGAATTAAGTAAAACATAAATTATATATATATATATATATATATATATCAGTATGTATGAGTGCCATGGCTGGCATTTCCCTGGACTACCCTTCCTGTTCCACTTTGCCCTGCCATTTTAACCTCTTTTGGGTGAAACAAGCGCTTTAAAAGTGCCTAAGCCTAGAACCTGGTGCAACGCATTTTGCATTTTTCCTAATCCACAAAGGACAGTAAAATAATAGATCTGTGGCTTTAAGCAATTCATAAAGAGGATAAACCTGTGGGACCCAAACAGCCAATATGTGTCCGTCTGGCAAACACTTGATGACAGGTTAGTTAATGATGGTACTGAATAAATGACATGTGTTCCAGTCTCAGTGATGGTGTAAATAAAGTTAACCTATAGCGGTGGCATTCAGCAGCGGCCAATAAGATATCTATGTTTCTATATACATGATAGGTTTGGTTTGATCTAGGGATGCACCGATCCACATTTTTTCACTTCCGATCCGATCCCGATACCTGAATTTGGATATCGGCCGATACCGATACTATTCCGATACCAGAGCTCTGTTTGCTTTAATATTATTATTATCATTGTTGTTGATTTTATATGAGATAATATGAATAAACTCTTCTCAACAGGCAAGTATGATATGTACGTATGTATGCATGTATGTCCCAAAAGGCAAATTGAGGTAAGTATAAGGTCAGAAAAGGAAGTCAGAAAAACAGGAAATCCTGTTAACAGGAAAAATCCCATCCTGAAAACAAATATGCAACTGTAAGGGTTTCAAATTGATTGTCATGTCAATATTTATTATATTCCCAAAATGTCAAATATTTGAAATATAAGAAAAGTGCAATAAGTGTAAACATCTTACACACACACACACACACACACACACACACACTAACCCCTTTAGCTTTCATGTTGTCTGCCTGGAGTTTACCTTGTTTTTGGAATGACTCCAGAAGTGATTCCTGACAGCTCCTTTTGTCTTTCTGCCCCTGCTCTTCTTCTTCTTCATATGGATTTCCGGCAGTTTAGACTCTTCTAGGCGTATTACTGCCCTCCTCAGGAAGTCACTCTAAGGATAATGTTACTGCTTCAAATGTTCACATATAGCCCTGTATCGTGTAAGAACTGTAATACTACTTTTACAATCAAGTGGTGGTTCTCATTTTGACTTGTGCTCTTTCGTGTGGTGCTTTTTTAAATGTTTGATTGTGTTCGTAGTGTTGTACGACGAGAGGGAGCTTCCGCCTCTCTGAATCGCGGCTTTGCTAGCTGGCTGCAAACTGCGGAATGGATTTCCTGAGTGGGAGCGTGTCTCATAACTCTGTGTCTCATTGAGCCACGCCTCCGTTCAGGAAATCCATTCCACAGTTTGCAGCCAGCTAGCAGACTGGCCGGCAGGAATCACTTGTGGAGTCATTTCAGCAGACAACGTTAACGCAGACATGGCTCATGGATATCGGATATCTCCGCAGGTTGGATCGGGAAAATCCGATATGTGAATTACGCTGGTATCGGTCCCGATACCGATACTGAATCGGATCGGCCCCATCCCTAGTTTGATCACTAGGACAGAAGGGGGATATTGTATTGATTGTATTGATGAAGTTGGTGTTACAAGTATAAAGTTGCATTTTACAGTCCTAAACTGACATGAATCTGTACTGATTTTACTTCATATCTTTCCTTTTTTCTTTTTCTTTCTTTTTTTTTTTTTTTTACCAATTTGGGTGTAAAATAGGTCTTAACTTGCATTCATAAAGGTCTTAAAAAGTCTTAAATAGAACCTGTTAAAACCTGCAGAAGCCCTGAATTAAGTAAAACATAAATTATATATATATACAGTATGTATGAGCGCCATGGCTGGCATTTCCCTGGACTACCCTTCCTGCTCCACTTTGCCCTGCCATTTTAAACCTATCCCTTATCAATTACACTTCTTATCAATCATAACCCGCACCCCTTCACAGTGCCTTACCCCAACCTCAACCTAATCCCTACATGTCTGATATATAGAAATATAGAGTATAAGAATATGGGATCATGGTTTCATTCAACCCCTAAGGCCTAAACAGCATCTTTTGAATATTTTATAATACATTTTTATAAGAAGATGTTTTATCATTGGAGAAGTTTTATTCTGAATGTTACTTGTGCCCATGCACCACTAGCTTTGGATTCCAAATCCCCCCCAAAAAGATAGTGGAGGAAAATAGAGAATTATAGTGCATTGACACATGTATAGTGCAGATTTGTTTGCTTTCCCCACCAATGCTGCTGACCTATTGCACCGACACATCCTATTCATTTTCTATGGAGAGTAGGCGATCCGGCCACGCGGTGCGTGATGGATACGCCACAGCGAGTTAACTGATTACTGGCTGTATCTGAATTTGCTTAAACAGGACTCAATCTTAACTTTATGCAAATTAAGTCCATCCAGCACAAGGCATCAGGCTCATTAAACTCTGAGCACTGTCAAACTAGACAGTGCTGATCAAAAATGAATCAAGATTGTGTTTATGCATTGCCTATTTCTCGCTTCAGATGTCTTTAGAAACATATTTCAGTTCACTGTTTAGCCATAATATGTAAATGTTTCTTGGCTGGCTGCCAAGCACCACCCGAATCATTGTTTCTCCACCCACTAGCCAAAGCGTTCAGTGATCTGGTGCAACCAGATGTGTCCTCGTTAAATTCTGTGTCTGCACCATTACTGGTATTGGGACGATATACGAGATTGTCATGTATCGCGTTAAAAACACTTTAATTATTGTGATAATGGTGAATATCTTCACATAGCTTGACTTGAAAAAGCTGTCCAGCTCTCCAGCATAGTCCTATAGTCCTATATTGATTTCCTGATTGATTTTGAACAGGGGGACCAGGGGGAGCCCACATCTTTGTAGTTGTTCCAAAATCCCAAAAAAGGTAAAGTGATTCCAGTAGATTTTAGGGCCATTTTAAAAGTATGAATTATCACATTTTCACGATAATATCGTGTATCACAATTATTTTGGCCAAGATAATTGTGACATGAAATCTTCTTTTTGTCCCCTACCTAACAGGAAGATTGGTCTGCAGTGAGAAATTAGGATTATTTATTTCAATAGTAAATGTTGCTCATGTAATAGAAGAATTGCCTCTCTGACATTGTGTTCAGCACTTCGACATAATGTAACACCTATTGTCAAAGAGGCAATATATAAATGTATAATATAATATATAAATGTGAAAACCTTTTAAATGTGATAGAGTAGATCTGCTGTTAGACCTAAAGGATTCCAAAGGCTATGCTCCCATAAGTTGACGTACGAGCACTTAAATGTTAAATAGCCTGAAACATCACTTGATGTTTGGTGTGTGTGCCATTAGTCTTTATGTAAACACGAGTAATGACTGCTTCATTTTGCTTTGCAGGTGAAGGATCCATTAGTAATCAGTCAGTGTGCATTCAGCATCACAGCTTCCAACAGCACTGCTTCTTAATTAGCTCCAGAGTTGCAGGTGAATTAATCATAGTGCAATGATAATTCCATTTTATACCACTAGAAACTTAGCATTAACTCTCACTGGCAGACACCCCTTCAGCCATGGTCATTTTTATTTTCTTTTTTACGCCCAGAGAGATTTGAGAAGCAAAGCCCCTTTCTATTGTTTCATTCTGGCTGAAGTAACATGAGTCCTCTGTCAGGTTTCTTCCTGATAGCACTATGGGGCTTTCTAAAAAGAACTATAACTGTTGTGTTTATTTATTAACATGTCGATTAAGCTCATGCCTGACAGTTTCAAATAATAATTGGAACGCAGTCTTGCTCTTAACTTAACATTTAACTCTTTAGACCAACCAAATCACATCCCCTTTTTCTTCCAATTCACTCAAATCCTAACATACAAATAAACAGATCGAATTAGCTGAGCCTGTTCTCTCCGGTGGAATTTTTTTTCCTCCCATCTTTAGGAGGAATCCATATACCAAAAATAATATCAAAAGATGCTCCAGAAAACTTCCAATCTCCCTTAAAGTTGGGTAATACTACTGATTGAACAATTGTGACTCACTTTGTTGTCCCTTAACCAAATGTTTACGTATGATACAGTAAATGCATACATAAAAAGAAAATACATGTGAAAATGTGTATTGTATTTTACTTTACTTTATTTTATTTGGGCATTTTAAATCCTCCACAATCCAATCGAACTCTTAACTTTGCAAGTAAAATGTGTGAATAACACAATGATCTGTAATTAGCTTTGGTTTGCTTGTTTAAGTGGTAGCCTAATATTGCTGTAGCTGTAGCTACAACATAGCTATAACCAGTGCCTGATTTAGATCCAGAAAGTGCCCATACCCTAATTTAGAACAACCCTAACGATAAATACAACATAACCCTAACCCTGATTCTTTCCATTTTTATCCTTTTTATGTGTTTTCACAGAGAGGCTGTACACAGGGTTTTAGAAAAATGGAACTAGCTAAGGTGGTTCTGGGGGTATCAAAACAATTATTTTTAGACAATTATTTCATGTGTTCATGTACACCTTGGAAAAAGTACCAGTGAAGCCCGAGTGGTGGGTACCGCCATTCTCACTAGAGGTAGCAGTACAAAAATCAGAAGTGCCAGTACTCATTTCAGGCACTGGCTATAACATGAAAATGAGATTAAAAGTAGATGATAAAAAATTTAGCCACGTTGAAATACTGTAACAGCTGTAGCGTTCTGATGGTTACACTTTATTTTGCAAACACTGGAGGTCCTGATCCATAAATTGATCAGATTAAAATGATAAGTAATGAATTGATACATGTTTGACTGGCAGATTCTTTTAAAATAGATGCACACAGACAGAGCACTTCACCCCAAAAACACGTAGTCCTCTTGCAGTTGTAAAGCCCAGTCCGGTCAAGTCCATTACAGACTGATTAAAATGACAGTTTTGGACAGAGGAAAGAGATCACCACATTAGCAGAAAGAGAGGTTTGACCAGCCTTGGAGCTTGTGGTGTTTTGCTAAATGGGATCTGGATGAATGAAAGCCATTTTCAGGAACTCAACCGTATTGGTAACAACACACAAAAATACTAAATATTCAAACAGAAATAAAGTGTCACAGAAGTTTTTTACACTGACTTATTTTTCATAAATAACTTGTTTGTATAGTACGACTTAACACACCAAATAAAACTTTTTCTATAATTATAATCAGTCTAAAGAGTGAAGTATGTGACCTAAAGAATAAATCCTGAAGCAGGGTAAAGTTTGCAGATTACCCCCTAATTCATCAGATGATGGGTGAGGATTTGGACAGAAATTGCCTTTTTGTGTTGAGGACAGGTCAACAGCAGCATAGCTGATATGCTAACCCCTGCAGCTCTTGTTTAATCAGAGGGGATGTTTAAATGTTGACTCACTGTTGTTTCGCCGTTTTGTGACAAATATGTGAGCAGATAGACGCCTGAGAGGTCAGCCTGTTGGACTGTCGTCTGATAGCGTGGGCCATTCTGCTGAATGAGTGAAAGGACAAGACAGGCACTGGTACATTGATCGTCAAACACTGCCTGACCCTCCGATAAGCTGACCTGCAGCTTTTACCAAGTAGTCCCTCCAGCTGTATTTCTTCCTTATATTGTCGATTGGTGATGAAATATTGAATATGCTATCAATTCCCTGTGAAACAAGATTTAATTGATATACGCCATGCTTACTGTAGTATACGGTCAGTTAATTTTCAGCAGCAGTATGTTGTTTAGCCTACACTGTAAATCAAATGTTTGCCACCAGTTCATCTCTTGCCTCAGTGATGGAGAGTCCTGTAGTATCCCTCTCACTGTGTGACTAATGCTGTTCCACCTGAAAGATGGCCTATCTCCGCTGTATTCAGTCATAGAGTGACTCCTCATCATTCTGATCCGTTCAACAGCAGTTGTAATCCAAGATGGTCCTCAACAGAAAAACATCAGTCGCCTGTTTAAAAGCTTTAAATTACCTGCGTATGTGTAAACATCCTCTTCTGGCTGTAAGAATGATAACTGTTCTTTTTTTAGAAGCAAAAGTAGAAGTAGTAAGGAAGACATTGTTAAACACCACAAAACCTCTTTATGTGTAGATGGTTAGACATACAAAGCATCTGACTGACATTGGGGAACACGGTTCACTTCTTCTCTCCTACCTATACTGAAACATAGGTTTCTTTTCATCATGACCACCACAACCTAACCAGATATGAACAAATAGCTGAGGAATCATTTGAATCGTTTTGGAAGGCGCTGACATTTTGTCAATTAAACATGATTAATTGTTGGGTATGTATTACGTCATGCTGGTAGAGCCACCATATCACACAATGCTCATATGGGTCGTTTTGGAAGGCAATGACAAACAGCAAGATTTTCCTAGTTGACCAACAGTCGTTAGATAAAGCCAATCGTTGACTAGTCATTGCACGTTTATGATATTAATTTAATTATTTAAATAAATATGTATTTACTAGCTGCCTGTTAAATGCTAACAGAAGCTGTAATGAATGTTGGTCCGCCTGCTTCAATTCTGCTCATTCCGGCCCCGCTCCTTGGCAGTGTTTCCTGCTGGATCCACCGGCTCCTACGCTCGTAGTGTTTAAACTCCCTCTGTCCTTCGAGCTCCTAGTCCATGTACAGTCAGCTAACTAGCTAATAAATGGTAAATTGACCTTTACTTGTATAGCGCCTTTCTAGTCTTCTGAACACTCAAAGGGCTTTTACACTACGTGCCACATTCACCCTTTCACACACATTCACTCAGCGATGGCAAAGTCCATCGAAATAGAAACTAACGCATTCATACACATTCACACACTGATGCTCAGCATTGGGAGCAATTCAGGGTTCATTAACTTGCTCAAGGATCCGACCCGCTCTTCCCCTGAGCCACAGCCGCCCTAGTGGCAGCAGCTATTTCAATTAGCATATACAATAGTGCACCAGTAAGTGACTTCCTGTGATACAAGAGAAAAGATCAGTGTTGCAGCAATCCCCTGATACTTTGGTCCCGGTGAAGAAGTTGAAGAAGTCAAAAATGATTAACTCCATATAACTCCATTTATTAAACTCCAAAAATTTTACATTGTTTTTGATTTCTTCAAATATCTAACTAAAGAAAGTGGGTTAACTAAGACTCTTCCCAAGACTAACGATTGAATTGACTATTAGGGGGCAGCCCTACAAACAACCAAAATTATTTTCAAGGTATGTGGACATAAGCTAGAAAATCCACAGTTAGCCATGAGGGGAGATGCCAAAATCTCAAATGTCTGATTGGCGACATTCTACATAGGTAATTACAGAAAGAACTCCTTTTTAATGTGACAACTCATGACAGATTGTTATTAGGGTTACCGCAAGGATGGGTATTAGAATCGGTATTGGGAGAGAAAAAGTTGTATCAGTGCATCCCTACTCTCCCCATGGTGTGAGTAACATCCTCTTTACATGAAGGTGAAAGCTCAGGTTCAGGACAATCCTTCACTCCTCTCTGAGCAGATGGGAGCACAATGAATCTGTATCTGTGTACTCTAAAAGTCTTTACCGGAACAAGATACTGATATTGCATTATGAAGATTAGATGATTAGATTATCACTGCCACAGCTCTGATAATCAGGATGTACGTGACATATTTGCTTCCTTATCAGCCTAATCCTAAGCATCCAGTGAAAGGCTTGTTGCTGTTTGTCCAGAGGATGCGTAGACCCTCTCTATTTGCACTGCTGCTGCTGACAGCTTGTACGGAATCAGAGTTCTGATACATTATGACAACTTCCAGCCCCCAGTACTTATTGAGCAAGTGCAGCTGACTTATTCATTCCCAAAGTCATTCAGCACGAGACACCCCAGGGCGCTCACATCCTCAGCTTAGTGTCAGTATCTCTCGACTTGATTTAGAAGTCCTGAATACCTATTTTGCATGATCCCCCTCTTCTATTTGTGTAAGATGATGTAAGATACAGGCCTTCTCTGGATGAAGCTTTGGCCGTCCTGTCTGATGAATCATCTCCTTATTCACTATGCTGTCTGCTTTACCAGCCTCAGGACTGACTGCATACACACATACCCAGACAACTAAAGATTTTCCTATTCGTCTAGTAGTCAATAGTTAATGCCACTAGTCCACTAGGAGTTGCACATTTATGATATTAATTATTTAAATATATATGTTTTAACAGCCTCCTGTTAAATGCTACGCTGTTTCTTCATCATGCCTGAGTCAGAGTCCTGGTTGGAGCCGCTGTAAATCCCCTAGTCTCTTTTAATCTCCGAGGCTGTGAACCCGGTTCCATTGCCTGCTCACCAGGCTCCGGTTCTGGTGCTCATTCTCTTATGCTAGTTCCTATGTTAGTGGTGTAAAAAAAAAACGTTAAAATTTTTTTTTTTAAAAACTCGCCATCCTTTGTCCTCCCAGTCTGGGTATAGTCAGGTTTATCAAACGTTACTCAAACAGGAGGAAATAGTTCATTTGTTGGGGATTGTCAGTGATGGATGAATCCACATTTGGTGCTCTACTGAATATTTGGGCCTGCAGGACGGTATATGTGGGATTGAGTTCAAGTAAACTACAGTGTGTGTTTATGGTAATGAAGGAACAACAATGTGGCTCACTGATGTGTTTTTAATAGTTTTTGGATGACAATGGAGATGTATTGTACAGAGGAAGAAGATATCAGGCTTTGATACACACACAGTACTTGTTAGTAGATACATTCATTGTTGGTTTGGGTCTGCAAATTGGATTTGTTGATTATAACTAACAAAGGCAAAAGAGCAAAAAAGAGCTGTTGTATTTGGTCAAATCTTGGATAGACCATTCATGTTAAAAGGCAAATTTCTATCTATAGTCCCATGGCAGTTGGATGTTGTTTTTTTTGAAAAGTGATGCAAAGTAGTATACATTTTTATTTTAGTTATATAAGTAGCAGTAAGGAAATTTTAATCAAAATTTCATTATACAACCCTATAAATTACAACAAGATAACAATTAATCCTTGCCTCTTCATTTAATTCAGACATTGTTCAACCCTACTGTGTTTAAAAAAACAGATTGATCCTTGTTGTCCTTTGTTGAAGTTTAGTAAATTTGAAGCAGGATGTGAAAGAGCATATAACTTATTCAGGTTTGTGTGTGTGTCCACAGGCGGAACCCACTACATTTCCATTTCATCACAGACTCCATTGCTCAGCAGATCCTGTCCTCTCTGTTCCATACCTGGATGGTTCCTGCCGTCAGGGTCGACTTCTATGATGCAGATGAGCTGAAGGTGAAGAACACCGACTCCACTTCGCCTCACTAACTACCAGCTTCTCTTAGAAAAACACTCACTTACTACTCTATAGTGCTTAATGATCTCACTGCCACCTTCTTTAATTATTTGGAGAAGTTATGAGGTCTGTAAACCATCTTTAAGGATGCTGTTACGTAATCAACAAGTTTTAAAAATTCAATTCAATTTGGTGTGGTGTTTCAGTCGGAGGTGTCCTGGATCCCCAACAAACATTACTCTGGGATCTATGGCCTGATGAAGCTGGTGCTCACTAAGACGCTGCCATCCGACCTGCAGAGAGTCATTGTCCTGGACACGGACATCACATTCGCCACCGACATTGCCGAACTCTGGGCTGTCTTCCACAAGTTCAAAGGTAAGAAAGTTCCAAACTGCAATAAGAAATTGTGCTTTCTTTATTTGATTTAACTGTCAGTTGTTGACTGGATACAGAGGTTAATGCAACTAATAGGCTACTTCAGTATATATGTATATATGCATAATAATGCAGGTAAAAATGTGGAGAAAAAAACAAAGTACAGCAAAGACAAAGACTCTGACTCTCTAACTGGACCTCTTTGAATCTTAATTTAATACCCCTACTGGAGCAGAGAGTGAATACAGTCAGGTCCATAAATATTGGGACATCGACACAATTCTAATCTTTTTGGCTCTATACACCACCACAATGGATTTGAAATGAAACGAACAAGATGTGCTTTAACTGCAACTGACTTTCAGCTTTAATTTGAGGGTATTTACATCCAAATCAGGTGAATGGTGTAGGAATTACAACAGTTTGTATATGTGCCTCCCACTTTTTAAGGGACCAAAAGTAATGGGACAATTGGCTGCTCAGCTGTTCCATGGCCAGGTGTGTGTTATTCCCTCATCATCCCATTTACAAGGAGCAGATAAAAGGTCTAGAGTTCATTTCAAGTATGCTATTTGCATTTGGAATCTATTGCTGTCAACTCTCAATATGAGATCCAAAGAGCTGTCACTATCAGTGAAGCAAGCCATCATTAGGCTGAAAAAACAAAACAAACCCATCAGAGAGATAGCAAAAACATTAGGTGTGGCCAAATTAACTGTTTGGAATATTCTTAAAAAGAAAGAACGCACCGGTGAGCTCAGCAACACCAAAAGACCCGGAAGACCACGGAAAACATCTGTGGTGGATGACCGAAGAATTCTTTCCCTGGTGAAGAAAACACTCTTCACAACAGTTGGCCAGATCAAGAACACTCTCCAGGAGGTAGGTGTATGTGTGTCAAAGTCAACAATCAAGAGAAGACTTCACCAGAGTGAATACAGAGGGTTCACCACAAGATGTAAACCATTGGTGAGCCTCAAAAACAGGAAGGCCAGATTAGAGTTTGCCAAACAACATCTAAAAAAGCCTTCACAGTTCTGGAACAACATCCTATGGACAGATGAGACAAAGATCAACTTGTACCAGAGTGATGGGAAGAGAAGAGTATGGAGAGGGAAAGGAACTGCTCATGATCCAAAGCATACCACCTCATCAGTGAAGCATGGTGGTGGTAGTGTCATGGCGTGGGCATGTATGGCTGCCAATGGAACTGGTTCCCTTGTATTTATTGATGATGTGACTGCTGACAAAAGCAGCAGGATGAATTCTGAAGTGTTTCGGGCAATATTATCTGCTCATATTCAGCCAAATGCTTCAGAACTCATTGGACGGCACTTCACAGTGCAGATGGACAATGACCCGAAGCATACTGCGAAAGCAACCAAAGAGTTTTTTAAGACAAAGAAGTGGAATGTTATGCAATGGCCAAGTCAATCACCTGACCTGAATCCGATTGAGCATGCATTTCACTTGCTGAAGACAAAACTGAAGGGAAAATGCCCCAAGAACAAGCAGGAACTGAAGACAGTTGCAGTAGAGGCCTGGCAGAGCATCACAAGGGATGAAAGCCAGCGTCTGGTGATGTCTATGCATTCCAGACTTCAGGCTGTAATTGACTGCAAAGGATTTGCAACCAAGTATTAAAAAGTGAAAGTTTGATTTATGATTGTTAATTTGTCCCAATACTTTTGGACCCTTAAAAAGTGGGAGGCACATATACAAACTGTTGTAATTACTACACCGTTCACCTGATTTGGATGTAAATACCCTCAAATTAAAGCTGAAAGTCTGCAGTTAAAGCACATCTTGTTCGTTTCATTTCAAATCCATTGTGGTAGTGTATAGAGCAAAAAAGATGAGAATTGTGTCGATGTCCCAATATTTATGGACCTGACTGTACGTTAGCCTAGTCTGCCTCACTCATTGATCCCTTATCTGACTGAGGTTTGAGAAAGTTATAATCTATGGCCCAGACCACAGCTCTGAAATATCAGCAGCCTATCTGTGCTGTGTATTGATAAATCCATGACGCTGTCCGTGGTTCTGAAGTAGCATACAGATTTTTTGATTGTGCCTTTTTCTCTGTTTCACTTTTTTTTTTTCAGTTCCCCCCATTTTATCTATAATATTCTCTAAACTACATCCTATATAGCAGGTTACTAAAAAGAAAGCTTATTTTTCTTTATTTTAAAGGCCAACCAATGATTCTATTCATTTGTAAATATACACAATAGAATAATAAATATTATTGTTATTTGCAGCCTTGTAGCTTTGACTGATTGTGACAGCACTAAATAGTCAGAGTAAAGGTCTGTCATAGCAGACGTCTGTCCAGAGGCGGGCCTGTCGATCTTCTGCAATCTATTCTCTCCCCACACGTTCTCCAACAATGGCTGATTCATCACTCATGTGGTGAAAATCACCACCATGACTCAACATGTAGGACTGCTCTTGTTGGATCAATACGTGGTTGGGATCAGCTGGATAGACGCTGTGCGTTACACAGGTGGTGTTCCTGCAAAGAGCCTGGAGGAGTAGTTCTCCATCTTGTAATGAACAGTGGTCTCTTTTCCACTAAATTAGTTCTGGTTCTTGTACTGGTTCCTTTCAAGATTCTTTTTTTTTTTTAACACTGCAGTGTGGTCCGTGATTGAAGGTGGATGAACATTGGTACATCAAAAAGGAAGCACATTTCAGGAAAAACTTATAAGACCCCTTGATTTAGCCCTTTTTAGGACCATGCTGCTGATTCAAATGGCTTATTCCCTGACATAATAGTTCTGTTCCACCACAATCGATTTGTGAAGTGATGAATTTCCGGTGTTGATTCGACAGTCAGTTTTGCCTCCTCTTTTTCTCAGCAAATGAGCAGAATTAATTTTTACCAGGTTGTCGCTCCAGTGTGTTAGAGGACATTTGCATTAAGTTGAACGGCTTTTCTGAAAGGACCAGTGTGTAGGATTAAGTGGCATCTAGCGGTGAGGTTGCTCATTACAACTCCCCTCTGCAAAACGTATCTAGAGCCATTGTTTGATTTGTCTGTTCTGGGCTACTGTAGAAACATGGTATTTCAACATGGTGGACTCCGCAGAAGAGGACCCACTCCCTCTGTAGATAAAAAAGGCTCATTGTAAGGCAGTTGACATATCCACTAGAGGTTACCAAAGCTTCACAGGGTTTTGCGAGGCCTTTTTTTATGTTAAGAGGTATAAGAAAACTTTATACTACACATTAGGCCTATATCTCATCGTCCTGCATTATAAAAGTACACAGTTACACCAATCAAAGAGCTAATAAAATAAATGTCAGGGAGAAGAAAATACTGACTTTGTCAAAAAAAGAAGCTTATTAAATAAAATAAAATACATTTAAAAAAGGAAAAAACATAATACAGAGAATTGTATAAAAAGTTCCTAAAAACATCAGTAAAACCCACCTTTGATATATATTCACAGAAAATAATCTGCTCGTTTTACACAAACTTCCCACAGGTATTGTGTTCACTGTTAAGGTTCATTGTACAGTTTATCAGTTGTTCTGTACAGTTATTGTTATGCATTGAATAAAATATGACATGCATAAAATATAAAATCTTTTTAGGGGTCTGCAGTTTAGTCAATTATAGTAAACCTTTTCCCTTAAGGAAACACTGTTATAAATTAACAAAAACAAAAACAATTCCTATATTCAGGTGATTATATACTGATGAAAACATACCTATAAATATTATATTACATTTCTGTCAATAGAGCCTCCTAAATGTTACACACTGGACCTTTAAAGTTACTCACAAACAATCAAATATAAATTTATCATGAGTAAATATATGGATGTTTAATCTTTCCGATCTCCGTGCCCAAATGAGATAAGAAAGGCCGAGCATTATGGGGTGTGATAGTACAGTTGTCAAAGAGATGTAAAGGTCTCACTAAAGCCTTCCAGCAAATTGGATTGTAGGACGTGTCATTTAACTTTTTTGTAGTCTTGACGGGATGAATGAACATGATGCAGATGAGGATAACAGCATTTGGACGGTCATTTGGACAGTCCTTCTCAAAGGCATTTGTGGGGGAAAGTGACAAAGCAGTTGCGTGAAAATTGAGAAAGAAGATCAAACCCTGGCCAAGGCATACACAACTGTCACACAACTGTTTCCTGTAACAAACCGAGTGTGAGAAACTGTCTGAAAAAGTGCAATATGTCATCTCACCCCTCTTACTCCACCTTCCAGTGTAGCTGATCAAAACAGCTATAAGCCTTTTACCTTCCAACATGGTCAGACTACACATTGTACCAACAACTGTCAGAGCATAACCCTGCCCTTACAAAACCCCGCCCGATTCTGCTATTGAAACTGACGCTCTTAGACAATCAGACAAATACTTCTTTATATTCAGACCATCATAGTACGAGAGAGGATGAGCAGGAAGTGTGGAGATAAGACAGAAAGTCCTGTCCTGGGAGGTAGGGAAAAGACCATAAAGCTCGCTTTCTCGCACATAGTCAGGAGGAGGGAAGGAGGCGGTGGTGAGTGACTTCAAAGATTTATGGGTAGTGCTGTCCTACAGTGCAGCGCAGCTAGCAGGAGTTTGGATCAATCTTAATTAGCAGTTCACTCCAATGCAGCACCTCTGCCACCCACTCCCTTTGCTGTCCAGCCTGGCTGAACTGTTTAGCCCCATTATGTTTAAAGCATTACAACAGTCCACTACGACACACTCAATAAATGTTACTCTCAGGCTTTAGCCTTCTTCAAATTACCAGCTCATATGCAAGCTTATAAAGATGGTTAAGAGAGCTGATGCACTGCCATGATTTAGTCAGCTCAGCTTTTATTTTATCTGATCATAAATTTATCATGTAAGCCACCAGCATACGAGGGTGATAAGATGTTCATTTATTCAAATAATTAAACGTATTTACTGTACTCAATGCACCTCAATCGATGTCAATCTGACATAAACTTTTAGCTGTATGACTATAGTGAGAGACCACAAACT